AAAAAAAAAAGAAGAAAAAAGATGGAACAATTAACACACAGCTAACAAATGCACAGTCACAGCTGTCCAAACAGGATTAATAGGGTGTATTAGAGTACAGTGAGTCATGTTGTGCTTTGCAGAAATATCAATGTGTGTTGCACTACATGCCACTGCCCTATGGCACTGAATAGATGAAAAGAAATAAATATGTTAAGCAGATTCATAGTCTTTTCACTTTAATAAAAAAGCAAGTTTCTAGACTGTACAGAAAAGACTAGACTTTATCCTTATGGGAAAGGTGAAAAAGCAAAAATTCTCTACTACACGTACTGACCTTTTTCAAGTTTTAAAAATGGAAGTAGAATTTTTTACGTGTTTCATAGCATTCTTACTAGATATATATGTGATACATGTCTAATTTGTCATTCTTCTAGAACTGGAAAATTTTAAACTACAATAAGTTCTTTTACTTCAATAAGTTTACTCAGTTTCTCCAGAACTTTTGACCCTTTTAGTAGTCCTTCAGAAATGTTTCCCACCAGCACCATATTGCTAACCACTGAGAAACAAATTGGGAACAGGGCACTTAGTAGTCAAGAATGCAGAAACAAAGAATTGAAAACAAAATTGAATTTTCTAATATACAAAAGTTTTTTCCTAGAATTCTGCTCTTGAATCTTATGATCATGTAAATAGTGATTTTTAACTTATTTGTATGTGCAGTCTAAAACCATACTTTTTTTAACCTGAAGAATTCTTTAGTAGTTCACTTGGTAAATTGGCACTAGCTGTAGTGTTTGTGTTTGTGCCCTTAGAGATGTAGGTTTCTGTTCAATTACTGAATGGTTTTTCAAATTAGTCTTGGGTTTTTTTTTTCTCTGTGGGCTAAGTAGATACTTCTGTAAGAAAGTCATCAAAAACTTTTTAACTCTTTTCTCCCACATGTTTACAAAATGTTACTGTGTCATATCTTTCCTCATGAGCAGTGGCTTTTTTTATTTGTCAGAAGTCATTGAATGTAATTTATGGGCAATATTTTTCCCACCTGCTCTAACAGAAGTGTCAGGGTTCCTTTCTGTTGTAACACTGCTCCATAGCTCACTCTTCTTCTGGATCACTTTGTGTCAAGAAGTCTTACTCCTTTTTCAGAGATGTGTTTTGTTCTTTTCCTGTAAATTTCTGGAAGCCTGGGCATTCAAACCTGACTTTCTTAATTTTCCTGTAGCTCCACAGTCTGACTAAAACTCTGCTGCTTTGGAAATGTTAAGGACACTGTTTGCTTTCAAGTGGCAAAGGAGCTCTGTGTTTATTGTCTCCCATCTCTCTACTGGTTAATTCAGGCAGCCAGTTTCTTCTTCTTGTGCTAAGACCGCTGTGTTTTTTCAATGTTTCTTCCTGCCTCTGTTGCTATTTCGATCAGCTTCAGGGATTATTTTGCTTCATACTTTGAAACTTCTTTCTTTCATTTTCTCAATTTTGGTATGTTTTCCTTAGATGCCAAATTTGATTCCCATATATTAGTTTAAATGACTGATGCTGTGTACAAGTAGTGTGTTTATCTTTTAACATTGTGATAGCTGCCTCCCAGCCCTGGGTATCCAGGTACAATGAGATTCCCAAGTGCCAGGTTTACCCTTGAAAGGAAGATAACTGACCCTTAATTCTGTCTCTGCTTCATTTATTATCACTGTTGAAGTCAGTTCTTAAAAGCCCCCAAATTCTTTAACAATAAGATGATAAAAAACTCATTTCCAGGTGCTTCAAAGCCAGAGTTGTTTTGTGATTGTTTTGTTGTCTGCTGCCATTTTAGTTTTGGGACAAGGTAAGCTTCCTTCTTTTGCACTGTTGTGAGAGCACGCTTCACTGTGACATCATCTGTGCCCAAAGTTTTTTGGGAATAGAAAGGCTTATCAATCCTAGACAGCAGTTATGCAGATGTCATCTCCATTTTCTGCCATCTACTCAGTGCATTGCTTGGTGAGACCTGACAGAGAAGCAACCTATGATTCTTCTCTTCTGCCTTCTGGGATGGGGCCTACAGCTTGTAGACTTTTCCACATCCATTTAACTGTAGTGATGGACAGGTCTTTGATCAGCACAAAGCCTGAGTGTCAGTTTGAGGTGCACTGTGAGGAAGACTTGTCAGCACTGTCTTTCAGCCAAACTCTTCTCCTTCTATGCAAGTGCTCCATGGCTGCAGTGGTGGATAGATCCTGGAGAAAAGCTGCATTTGGAAAGATGTCTTTAAACCTTGGTTTCAAAGCAGTAGCTCTGGAAAAACACAAAAGCTTAGTGTTTATCTTAAGATGTTGTGGCTCTCGTGGAAAGGCTATTTGCTACTTGCTTGTTTTTTAATAGGAAAGCCCATGGTGCATTTCATCCTTTTCTGGAATAAAGAAGGATTTCATAGGAACTGAGGTTTCAAGCACTTTTCATGCTAAAGCTGATTTTTCTTATATTTCTTGGAATTATAAAAACAGATTTCTCATCTACACTAGACAATTAATTTCAACTCGCATTATTGAAACATTTTACTAGGAAACTTAAACATTTTGGTAAGCTTGTCTTACAGTTTTGTAGTGGTCAATGAAGTGGAACATGACCCTGAGGACATTGTCTTGTGTGTTTAACCATTTGTCTTCTAGTGTGTTCTCTGAAAGGATTTTGCATCCATATGTAAATGTAATAGAAAGAAATTTGTTTCTTAAAAATGTCGCAGATATTTTGATCTAAATCTTACAGGAATCACCAGATTTGATCTGCTCGGAGACTTTGGAAGGTTCAACTGGCTGGGGAACTTCTATATTGTATTATCTTACAACTTGCTCTTTGCCATCATGACAACGTTGTGTCTGGTCAGAAAGTTCACTTCTGCTGTGCGAGAAGAGCTCCTGAAGGCATTAGGTAACACAGCCCTGAAAATTCAGTCTGTGCTTGAATGTTTCCTTTCTCCACCATTGGTACCTTGATATGTTACTGTCAAAGTTCTGTCACAAGTCACAAGAAACTTCTTTATTTGGTGGAAGTTTCTGTAAGTTAAGATGAGGATGCTTAGTGTTGTATATGGTACAGTGTTTATTTTAATGATAGGCCTGTGGTACTTATGAATTTGCAGTTGGATTTTCAGCCTTTGGACAGCACAGAAACATTCTTATTGGTATGAGCAATTATTCCAAACTAAAGCTTCAACTTGTGTATGTAAAGTATTTAATAAAAGGTTATATATGTTGAAGTCAAATTAACAAACTTCGAAATGCAGGCGTAGTAGGGTAATGGTCAATGGATTTGGCACAAGTAGGGAGTTACAAACACTGAAATGTGCAGGTTCCTGACACAAACTGGGTTTGTTTTCAGTGCTGTGCATAACAAATGGTGTCTGTTAAAAACTGCTCCATGGAATTCAAAGAATGGGAACCAAAACTGGCCTATGACCAAAAAATTCATGTCATATTGGGACTTACAAATAAGACAATATTGAAGAGATTTTCAGCAGTGCAGTCACCTTTGGAATTCCAGCAATGCAAGAATTGAACTTATGTTGTGGCACTTCACTAAAACATTCAGTGTAGTCTACACTAAATGAATAAGAAGCTCTTTGCATTTTTGATCTCTAATTTTAGAGGCTTAATAGGAGACTTCAGAGAGAAACTGTAGCAAGCAAGGAAGGACTGACATCATGCCTTGATATGAATAATGTGATGTGATTGTGAATAATTTAAGGTTTGATTTACCATATTTCTCTGTCCTCCTCCCATAAAGGGTAATTTAGCTACTTGCCTGGGGCAGGATGTGAGACTTTAATTAGCATTTGTAGTAGAAAACTGTGCAATAGGAACAAATGGCTGGAAACTGAGCAATCAGTAATTACATAGACCTAAGAATGTAATTAAACATATAAACAGTTTAGAGAAGTGATGTGGTCATCACCAATGACATTAGGACCAGCAATGGATGCTTTTCAGAAAGAAGTTACAGTTTAAAAGAAATATTTTAGGTCATTATTTAGGTCTTTGTAGGTGGACAGGGTAAAAGTATTGCAAGTCTTTCTTGGTTCTTAACGTCTGAGTCTGCAATTTAAGCAATATGGAGTTAGGATTCTCTGGCTTCCATGCTTGTCCACTGTCATGGGCTTTTCTCACTGAAACACAACCAAGGGAACTTCCTAGAAGTAATTGTTACTAGAGCTAGAACGTCAGTTCTAGTCTTCAGCAGATGCAAAGTCCTTAATCACAAGGTGGAATTTGGCTTGTCTGTGTTCTTTTGAGTACCTGTATGCATTAAACATGGTAGAGTCTCCATTTTTCCTTATTCTGTAATGTTTTGCAGGATTGGATAAACTTCATCTATCAAACAATCCAAGAGACTCGGAGACAAAGCCGTCCGCGAATGGCCATCAGAAAACACTGTGATAACAATCACCTGCAACCAACAGA